TATATAAGAGCGGAATGTATAAATGGTCGAGTGATAAACGGAGTTGTCCGATCGAGTCTTCATCGTTGATGCGAAAACCAAGGTAGACGCGGTGGTCAGCCATCGAGCACCAGACAGGGTGCTGAACCCCGGCCTTCTCAGCACCGTCTCCGAGCGTCTCAGGGCCATGGGCATGTCAATCTTCCGCCTCCTCCCCCCCCCCCCCCCCCCCCCCCAATTCCCAGCGATATACAAGATGGTGTTAATAGAAACAAGCAGGCCATTGATAAGATGGTTGTTGTCGTTGGACAGATCTAAGACCATCCCGACAGGCTTGCTGGGCGTGATGCTGAATCTGTCCCAAGCACGAACGCCCGCCGACACACATTCCAAGCCCGGGCCCTGCACCGGTGCTCTAGACCATTGTCTTTTCTCAGACTTTTGCGGCGAAGCGGCGCTGCGGATTGGCGAATACCGCGGCCCCTGGCGAGTTTGCCGGAGAAGGGACCATCCGTTTTCAGCGACGTCGACAGATTGCCCCTTTTGGTTCTCACTTTTCACATTTCACAGGGCCAAGGGTCTCTTTGGCCTGAAGCTCGTGCTGCGAAACGGTGACTACTTCGCAGTAGACAGCGTCTTCAAGCTTCAGTTTGAAGTTGGCTTGATGCCTCCTTGAGTCCTTGGCCTTCTCGTTTATCTCCGAGAGGCGAGAATCAGTTGCTTTGGTTGCTGCCACAAGGGGACTTGTGCTCGCTGTGCTGCGGTTATTCCAGAACTTGACTGGACTCCTGGGGTTGCCTGAGATGATCGAAGCGAGTGTAAAAGCTGTTCATGCTGAGCGGTAACTATCATGGGGGCTTGTGTAGAAGTGTATGATATATATGTAATGTAGGGCTTATAGATGGTACCGGTGGTGTTGAGTCTGTGAGAGACGAGGATCAGAGAGGCTCAACCACTTGGAGAGCTGCTTCCTATATACCTTCTTCACTAGTCCGGCTTGGTGTGTATGCATCACTTTCGTAGGCCAGCTTGTCAGTGTTTTCCCCTATCTGGTCCAGCATTGTTTGGGATCTGCCATGAGAAACATGAACAGGGCAAACCATTGTCAATGACAACTTCCCGGCAAGCCGAACACAACAATCGCCATCGCCATCGCCATCGCAAACGTTGGTGGTGATGATGTGATACATCATCCCTGAACAAGCTCATTGTCCAAATATCCAACAATTTCAGAAAACATCAGGCAGAGTGCCCAGCAAGTAGGAGATCAATGGGTACGAGAAGCAAAAGCACGAAGTGAACGCAAACATCAAGAATAAGTTGTGAGTGAGAAGTTCACCCTCATAAAACACAAAAATGACAAGGAAAATAGAGGTCGGGAAAAGAAAGTAAACAACCAAGACCAAAAAAGCCGCCACAGCATCGCCAACCGCACCATCTCTCAGTCCTACCACCCGCCCCCCCCCCCCCCCAGTTCACTGAATCCTTCCCAAAAATCCCCGGCAATGCCATGCCAGCTAGTTCCCAAATAGGTAAGATATGCGCCAGGATGGTGGGTGATGCTCACCCCTGTTTCGGCCTAAAATCTGACCATTAGTAGTGAGCGCGGCTCGGACTTTAACCGCATCGATACGACTCGTCGTGGGTGTAGCGAGCGAAGATGGCGCTTTATGAAACAACCCCCAGAAGCCTTGGAGATAATTGTTCAGCTTCTGAAATCTTGGTCTGTTTAAATCCAACGACAGCCACCATTGACCATAAGCTAAAGAAAGGATTCAAGAACTTTCTTGGATTTTTTTCCTCCCATTCAAACCTCACAGTTCCTCAGCCAAAATCTCAATCGAAGAAGAAACAAACCGACAACATGCGCCTAATAAACACCACCACCCTAACCCTCCAATCCTTCATGCTCCCCGCCCCTCAACTCCCTTCCTACGCCATCCTCTCGCATACCTGGTACCCCTCACCAGACGACGAAGTGACTTTCCAGGATTTCACGCTTCTTCCCCGCCATGAACTAGAAAAAAAGAAGGGATACGCAAAGATCAAACAGACATGTCAACGGGCCAAGAAATCGGGGATCAAATGGGCTTGGGTGGACACATGCTGTATCGATAAGACGAGCAGTGCGGAGCTGATGGAGGCGATTAATAGTATGTGGGAATGGTATAAAGGGGCGACGGTGTGTTTTGCTTTTTTGGAGGATTTGGAGCCCGTGCCCGGGACGGAAGGGGGGAGTGGGACGGGGCGTAGCAGGATTGGACTTGGACTCCCACTTCAAGCCGGGCACGGGCAGAATGGTCACGGTCGGAGTGAGAAGCGCTTATCGGTGTCGGATGATGGAGGGAGTAACGATGGCAGCAATGTCTCAGCGGCTACCGGGTCCGGAGCAGGGACGGGTTCGACGACATCATCACCCTCATCATCATTATACATCCAAGCCGAGCGAATGGAGCACCTCAGCCACGAGGAGAAGGTCCGTCGCTTCGGGGCATGTCGCTGGTTTACGAGAGGGTGGACCCTGCAGGAGCTCATCGCCCCTTTGCAGATGGGGTTTTACAACAGCAAATGGGAGTTTGTCGGTGAAAAGTCCGCTTTGAAACACGTGCTGGCCGAGATCACGCAAATCAGCGAGTCGGTTCTCGAGAATAGCGCGTTGCTCCCGACCATCCCCGTGGCGCAGCGCATGTCATGGGCTTCTTCGAGGGTGACCACTCGTCCGGAGGATATGACTTATTGCTTACTCGGTATCTTTGACGTGCAAATCCCGTTCTTGTACGGCGAAGGAGAGAAGGCGTTTATCAGGCTGCAGGAGGAAATTGTCAAGGAGACGAATGACTTCAGTCTGTTCGCGTGGAAGTCTGGCAAGGGGTCAGGCATACAGCACCAGAAGCACTGGGGCATTCTGGCGCCGAGTCCGAAGGAGTTCGCGGAATGTGGGGACATTGAGATCTGGGGTAACCCGCTGTATAACGCCGAGTGTTATGTTACGGGCAAAGGGTTGCGCTTTACGCCGGCGCCGGGGGGTGGAGGATTGTTGAGGAGCAGTAGTTCCAGGTTTAAAAACACCGAGGGGACGTATATTCTTGACCTCGGGTGTTATCACAAAAGCGAAAAGGGCATGGCTATCGGCGTGTTCTTGCAGCAGCATGGCTCGGATCTGTACTGCCGCGTGATGCCCGAGAGCTTGCCGACGTGGCCGACGGGGCCGGGACAGCAGCCGATGTTACGCAAGAGCAGGGTGTTTTACATCCCCAAGGCGGTGTCGCCCGTGGCGTCGACGATGCTGGGCTCCAGTCATCGGTGGGCGTTCAACTTGTCGCAGGTGTTCGCGGCCATGGCTGACATCAAGTATCTCCCGCAACAAAGCCAGTTCCAACCCGAGGAAAGCTGGGACTCGGAGCGCAGGCTGTTCTTGAGCCAGGGGTCGAGGAACTTCCAATGTTGCGCAGTATTCGTAACGACGAGGACGGACGGGTTGGGGGCGTTGAGGATCTTGGTATGGTGCCAGCTTCATTTTGTTTACGGCACCGATGGAGGGGCGCAGGCATCGGTCAAGGTCGAATTTGATCCACCCTCTGAGGGGAATACAGACGGCGACGGCTATGTCAAATGCAACAGCAGGGTTGTAACCGAGGCCTACGAAGGTCAGCCGGTATTCAAAGTCGAGGTCGAGGCAACGACGAGCAAGTTCCGCGCGCTCCCTACCATCATGTCCTTCCGCGGTACCGACGCGTCCATGAACAAGATGGCCAGGGCGCACCAGATGAAGCATCATGAAAAGATAGCGGCGGCCGCGCAAGGGAGAGAACGGTATTTCAATTCGGCAGCAGCGAGCATGTCGAGTACCATGGTGGGGAGGTAGATGGTGGTGGTGGTTTGATTTGGTTTGTTTACTTGTGGAAGTTGAAGATGGAGTTGTTGGATAGAATGGCAAAGGAACAGCAGTCGAGATGAGATGTACAGCAATGTAGTGGTAATTGTTAGTACAAGTCACTGTAACAACGCATTAGGGCAACTACCGGTACTTCAATGTGAACCCCACCAGCCACACGTGATCTCCCTCCTCTTTCGCGGAACTGGCCAAACCAGACCGCGACTTCCACCAACACAATGCAAGCACTGTAACGCGCTTGTGGCCAGTGGGTTCTCAGTGCTCTTTGACCTCTCCAACATCATCAGGCTCATTTGAGGGACCCAACTTCCTCCCTTTTCCATCCTTCGACAACCGACTCTTTTTCTCGACACCAATAATCCTCAACCCGCAATCGCCGACGCGCAATTCCGCGACCCCAACAATGTGACAATGCCACGACAAAATACATTCACCGTGGTGCCCAACCCCTTGGGCATGCAAGGGTTGATCTCGCGCGACGATGCCCCAGCCTCGAAACCCCAGGCGATGACCTCGAAGCAAGCGAAGAAGCGGTACAAGGAAGCCACCAAGGGGGCCCAAACTCTCCAAAGCAGCAGCGTCGAATCGAGCTGGAAGAACAAGAGCGGATTCGAAAAGAGCTCGACAAGCAGAAATCAGCCAACAAGGCGAGGATCGCAAGAGACAAAAAGAAGGCAAAGGAGTTGGCAGACATACAGGCGCGGAAGAAGAAGGGATTGCCGCTGGTGGATGTCCATCCAAGTCAGGACACGATTTCGAGGTTTATACGGAAGGGCGATGGCAATACGGCTCCAAAGAGAGATTCGAGTGGGAATGTCAAGGGCAAGTCTTCAGAGGAACCAATCCGGACTGTTTATCCGGAAAGGGACAGTTCGAATAAGAACATACCAGGTGAAAGGGACGAGGTAGTTGGCAGTCCGAGGAAGCGACCACGACTTGACGAGGACAGCCCACCGAAGAGGCAAGATGCGGTCACAATACCCGACAAGGGGAACACAGAATTGGTGGAAGATAAGAGCAAGAAGCAGAGGCCTCGAAACACCCCCGAGCACGCTTCAGACAATGGCCAGCCAAGACCAGGAGACGAGAACAATATGGCGGCAACGTCGCATAATACACCCCAAGGGGAAGACAAGAGAGGGGAAGTTCCGCCCAATAAGGCAAACTCACAGTCGAAATCACAGGAAAGGACAACTACGATCACCGACAAGGAGAACATGCCACGAGTGGAGGGCAAGACAGAAAGTACAAGCCAGCGAAGCTCGCAGCTACGTCGGGCAGGCAAAGAAGGATCCCAGTCGAACGGCAGGACAAGTTCGAGGGCAATATCCAGCATGAATAGGATACAGACTCCCGAAGAAGTTGTAATGGTACCTTTGCCCAAACCGACAAGGCTACAGCCGGACAGGCATCTGGAGGACATGGGATTGAGCCGATCGCGAGCGAACAAGGAGATCTTGCGTCCGAAAGAACAAGAAGTTCCTCCTCCAAAGCCGGCTCCAGCAAGGAAGGTTATCAAACCGTTACCAACTGGTATGCGACCGAGATCACATTTGGGAGAAACTGATGGGAATCGGTCTACGCCACCAAAACCGACCAAGGAAACAGTGTCGGCGCAAGGCTATCAGGAGCCGGAGCTCGCGAATAAGGAAAAGCAACCGCAAGTACCAAAGGAGAACTCCCAACTGAAGCCCAGAGAGTCTACACCGAAGCCGTCGGTGGTGCATTCAGCTGTCGGACCATGCAAACCAATACCGTCACCACAACCCCATCCTTCTCCAATGCCACCACCACGGCCTCCAGTGTCTGCTCGTCAGCCTTCACATGTCTCGAGACCCAATCCTCCGGTACCCCAGCAGCCGGCCGGAGCTCCTGCCAACACACCCAAGATGCCGTCCACATCGAATAATTCCAACAAGTTCGCTCCGCAATACAGACCTATAGGTCCTCCAGCATTTGTACCACAACATCCCTCGCCTGGTCCACCAAGATTTAAGAAACCTTTGGCCAGACCTAGCAGTGGGCTATCCAGAAGCCCAAATTCCTCCAAAGGAACAACCTTCAAACGGCGGCATCAAGAGCGTCTTTATCCAGCAATATCGGCAAGCCGGCTGTCACAAGCAGTGATACACCACCATCAAGCACCCAGTTATTTGTCATGTCGCACCTCGACGACCTGCTCCCAAGTCCATCTCAAGAGCTTCGAGAGCTGGAGGGGGGTGCCCAGCCTACGCCCATATCGCGGCCACCCGTATTCAAGACCTTTTCTAATAAGCAACCACAGATCCCTGCGACATTCTCTAAGTCGCCTGTTGCGTCAGGGCCGAGACGCTTCGTACGACAAACGTCACATGTACAAATCGCACCTCCGCGGCCTCGGATGCAAGAAGTCAAGCCTGTTGAAGATGACTTCTTCTCCTTCCTCTCCACGCAGGACTTACTCTTCTCGTCTCAGGACATTCGTGAGCTCGAAAGCGACACTCCCTGCAAGGTTAACAACCGAACGGAACGCTTCGAACCTCCATCCAAACAACCACCCAAGAAGGCCTCTTCGTCTCCCTCTTTAATAACTAATAAGGGACATCGTTTGTCGGGCACAGCGAGTGCAACACCAGCACCAAATGCGGTCTCTGGGCCAGCCTCTGGGAAACTGGCTGAAAGGGTACCTACTCCCTCGAAGCAAAGCTCAATGGACTTGGTGGCATCGAATCATCAGGCGACCTCTACAGCCTCCAAAGCCCGGCCCGCATCCATCCCATCATCTACCACACGAGGCCCAAAGACGATATCAGACTCCACATCCGAAAATCAGGCGGAAAGGATATCTAATGCCTCGATCCCAAGCCCGCGGCTACGGGCTTCAGCAACTTCAACTCCAAAGCTAAGTCCGGTCATTGGAGGCCAAGAACAAGCGAAAATTTCAAACCCAAGTTTGCCCACAGCCTCAGGCGCTACTCCTCCCGCGCCCAAACCCGCGCCTCCGGCTCGATCCCCATCACCTCAGCGGTTCTTCGGCTCCAGCGGCGTAGGCATACAGATCCTGCTCGCCATGGCAGAAAGCGAAAAGACATTCAAGGAGGATGAGGAACGACGTCAGGAAAAGGCTCGCCGTGAAAGGCTAATTAAGGAGAGATGTAAAAGGGTAGCAGAACAAAGGGCCAAGAAGGCTGCGGAAGAGAAGCGTAAAAAGGCAGATGAGGAGAGAGCGAAGGTGATGGAACGACTGAGACGTCAGGGTGAGGAGATTGCTCAGTTGAAGATTCCTTCGGCGAGGAGGGCAGATTCGCCAGCTGCAGGCGCGGTGCCGGCACAAAGGCCTCTGACTCAGGCAAAACAGATGCCAGGGCAAAGTATCAAGCATCTTATCCCTTCGATTAGCAAGGTGAAGAGACCGCCTGGGGAATGGATGCCAGCGCAGAGGCGTAGCATTGCAAAGCCTGTCGTGCAAGCAAATCACCCACAGCAACTGCCACCACCCAACTCCAACGTTCAGGATCGGGCACAGCACCCGCCCCAACAAGCACCACAGGTAACCAAGACATCCACAGCTCCCAAACCAAAGTCCAGCATCGCAGGACAAAATCAGATACAGCAAACAATGGAGGTGGTACCCACGTCATCTCAAGAGACGGACTACGAGGATGGAGACCTGGATGGGCTAGGTGAGTTGGGTATGGGCCTCACACAGTTCCTGGGCCCTGACAAGGACCTGTCTTGGCTTGATGACGACGATGATGATTTCTGATGATAGAGAGACGCGCAAGCACCTATCCACAGTAAAGAAGGTAGAACGCGACCTGCTTATTGTTATCGGGGGCTCATGTACCTATTATTTCTTACCTAGATTATTTTACCGTACCATTACCGATTAGATACCGGCGAATGTCATTTTTAAGTTTTCCGTCCCAGGCCTTTGAGCCCGTCGTGTCTTCTCCCGCCAGACTCAGCTGTATCTGGAACGGGCACGATGAACATAATTCCATGCGTCGCCGTGAGAAGTGACATTTGGCAAAAGCGTTCCTGGAGGGGAAGAACATGGTCAAATTTCCTGGCCTTTGGATTTTGAGAACCAATTTCTTCCCAAACATTGTCTTTCAAGGTGATCAACAACACCAATACCAATACCGCGATTGCCCGCCAATCCTTCCAATACCCCCTTTATTTACACTCCCACTTACCACTTTCAACACCAGGACTTCAGTGTCGCGATATTGGGGGATCGCCAGTCTGTTAGCGTCCGCAGCGTCACATTATGGAATGCCAGGGGCAGCCACAGCGGGCATGACGGAGGCCAACGACGGGCGCAAGGGGCCGACTGATGTCCAAGCTAGAGCCAAGCCACTTGTACCACTACAAACCACCACCCAAACCCACGACGCTAGACCGCCCCATCCATCACCACACCACCACACAATCCGGGGACCAACCGGCATCACGTCCACACATCTGCAGATGCGAGACAAGTCCAGACATGCAACGCGTTTCCCCCGGCGTCCCGTAATTTCCACCCAATGAGCGCCGCTTGGTACCCAAACTCAGCCAAACTGACCCAAACATGAGCCAAACAGGAACCCAGACCACAGCAGACCAGTCACCCTCCAGACCTTCCCACCACTACGGCACCGCAACGAGACACAAGGCAGGCCGCCTGAGGACAGCCGTCTTGGCCAAACATGGGCACGGGCAGGCAGGCATGGGGGATGGATGAGGCAGACATGGCAGATTCCAGATTCCAGGCTGTCTACGACTGTCAAGTCTTCCTCTTGCAACCATTCATCGACCTCCACAAGCAAGTCGCCTTCAACGGTTGACATCGACGATCGATACCCCGTTGACTCATACATAGCCAGAGCAACACACAAGGCAGATCAAGGCAGTTGGCAGCCTGCGAATGGTATTCTGCTGTCAGTCATCGCGCCCATCATCGGTCGACGGTTGTTAGCTGGCTGGACTGCTGGCTAGGCGCTAGTCGGGTGCCTGACGCTTGACGCTGCTGCATGCTTGTGTGGCATCTGCCCTGCGTTGCAGCCACTCATCGTCCATTCCCAGCTCTGCGGCTTCATGCCCAGTTTTTCGTCAAGGGTTTTGCAACGCCGGTCAAACTTTGTCTTCTTGCATTCCCACCTCCCCGTATATCACCACCGTTGCGACGACAAGATTGTTTCGAGGTTTTGCAGGGCTTGAAGTATTTCTGTTGTTGTTGTGATTCCAATCTCACGTCGCGCCAAACACGCTGCGCACCTTGACGGCCCGCGCTACGCTGCAGGAGAAAGATACAGGGACTGTTGTGCGCTACACCAACCGCCATCGACCAACGGCCCCGGACTCCTCACCTACCATCACTAGCGATCGCCAACTGGGGTACTCCAAGCTTGACAAGTTCGTCGGGCTTCCGTCCGACGACACACTTTGTCGTTCGCCATGAGGAGAGCAGAGCATCGCCCGCGTCGTCTTGACGATACACACCGGTTGAAGACCTACCACAGCGATCGCGACTTCCCACTTGGCCCTGCCACTGCCCCGCTCGGTTCGCCAAGAGAAACCCGAAGCCACGTCGGCAGGGTCGAGAGAGATCGTGAGCGCGAGCGAGAAAGGGAACGAAACCGCGAGCGTCCAAAGCCACGTCTTTTCGAGTCAGCTTCGACTATTTCATCGCATTACCCTTCTTCTCGTTGTCGACAGGACAGTTTCGAGCACGTTCACAGGCATGGGCGCACGCGATCGCTTTCGGTGCCTCGGTCTTTCTCTCCGCCGCCCTCCGATGATGAAACATCAGCACAGGATTCGGATGACCAAACGCGCAGGCTGAAAGCCAGACAGACGCCGAAGCCGAAGACCAGAGATCGAGAGCATTATCCCTCTGGCCATCGTCCATCGCTTCAGTATTACAAGAACGACCAAGCCAGTTGGTCAAGTCCGAGGCTAGCTGTATGGCCGAATGCCAGTTCAAGAGCACCATCAAAGTCACCGGAGCCAGTTGAGCCAGTTCGGCGTAAAAGAATGGACAGGGAGCTAAGGAGAGCTGTGTTTGATCGTGACTCTTCGTTTCATCAACTCAACGACGAGCGGGACTCGCTCTATTCCACACCTTCGGAGCCGAACCTGCGGGCGAGGCACAACATCGGCGTGGATGATGGCCTTGTTGGATCGGGACTTGTGAGTCCGAGAAAGCCTAGTGGGTTAGCAAGAAGTATGAGCGGCACAGGGACGTATGACCATGACGGGAGACAGGGAGGGTTGAGTTTGAGGAAACCGGGTACCTCTTCCAGGGCTCCTAGTGTTGCGCCTTCGTAAGTGACTTTCGATCAACTTGCGCTTCTCTTTCGTTGGCAGCCATGTCGAGCAACTCCCACGAACAACACCTAACACGAACAGGTATTACCACCCTGCCTTGGAAAGCGATCAGTACACGGAGGTCCACGTCCTCATCCTGACTTGGGCCTTCCATGACCTTAAGGTTACCGACAGCGATTCACACCCGTACTTGTTTGGCCCTGGCAGCGAATTTGTCTCTCTTGAAGAGGAAACGCGACGACTCCGGGACACCTTCGAGTCCTACGGGTATTTCGTTGACGACTGGGACATTCCCATGCGAGATCCACTGAAAACTATGTTGACCAAATTGAAGCAGTTTGGCAAATATGCCAGAGACGACAGGCTTCTGATTGTGTATTACCATGGGCATGGAAGCTTGGACGAGAGAAGCGAGTTGGTCTTTAGCAGTCATGAGCACCCAACGGATCCGCAATGGGCGCAAACAGCTGCGGCGGAGCTTTATGCTGCCATCTTAAGCCAGGATGCTTGTCCCCATCATGGGAAGCCTACGACGCCGTATCATGAGTTGATGAAGAAGTAGTACGTCTCCCTCCTTTATCATCGACCGTGATCACCGCTAACACCTCCAGTGAGCGCTACCGCCCGATCTCCAAAGTGAAATGGTCCGATATCCGATCTGCCATTCTCGGTATCAACTCTGATCTCTTGCTCATCCTGGACTGTTGCGCTGCCGGCGGCGCCAATCTCGACATGGAACACTCTGACGCCACCGACACTTACCATACCGAAGGACCCAGCGGCAAAATCTACACCAAACACCTCCTTGCAGCCTGCGGTTTCGAGTCCAGTACCAGTGACGACATGACCAGCGCTATGTGCGATGTTCTTGACGAGTGGCCAGGCCCGGACGGTGGTGGATTGGAAAGCAGTGGGATGTTGGTATCGACGCACGGTGGGGGACCAGGTGGACATGGAGGGTACGCGGGCAAGTGGCTTACGACACGGAAACTCCACCAGATCGTCGAATCGAAACTCCAACGCGATGCGGCAATGACAGCAGTAGGCCTCAGAAGCGCCAGCCAACCGATCTTCAAGCAATTGCTACCCGTCGACTTGCCAGAGCGGTACATCACCCTGCCGAACTTGCAAGGGAAACAGCAAAGCTCGAGTCGAAACCAGAGCCGTGGCCGGCACCAGTCTTCCCATCACAGCAGCCAGACAGCGAGCACCACGGACGGCGGCGATACGATCGTTGGCGGCAGCGCCATGAACCCAGGGGTAGAGTACGGAATCGACGACGCGATACCTGGGAGCGCAACGCAAGTCGGCTTAGGAACTGCTCGTGCTCGAAGTCGAAGTCGGTTTTCGGCAAGGGATTTGAGTCAGGGGAGATTGTCAACACGGGCGGAAAGAGATCGGGAGAGCGGGTTGCGGGAGAGGGATGGAAGTGTGCGGGATAGCGGAAGGGATCGAGAGGGGAGTATCAGCACGATCAGAGAGCGTGACAGGGATAGGGAGCGGGAGAGAGATTCTCATCGGGATAGGGACAACGAGCGGGAGAGAGATTCTCATCGGGATAGGGACAACGAGCGGGAGGAGAGAGAGGAGGGTTGGGATGTAGTCAGTATGCGCGAGGGCTTGAGGGAAAGGATTGGGAATGTTAGAGAGAGTGGGAGGGATAGGGATCGTGAGAGGGATAGTTGGGATCGGTAATGATGGTATTAGGGGATGCGACCGCGGTTTGAGATGGTAATAATGATATGAGTGTTGAGGTTCGGCATGGAACTAGGTGGTAGCGCTTATAAGGTTCGCTCGAGGTTATGGTATAGCGGATGTGGTTGTGATGGTACCGAAACGATATGATGTGGGAATGGATCCCCTTGTGACGGATGAGTGATGGAAATCTTGTGGCAATGTTCGATGGAGTTACGGGACCAGGTAGCAAGCCGTCTTTCTTGGATTGTTTTCGTTTTCTCATTCATGTTCATCTTGCCAGAATTGCTCGGTATGTTAGTACATAATCTCTCTTATTTCCTGTGCTTTTCTTTTTTCCAGTTTTAGGCCAAAAATATGGCAAGCATAGATAACCACAGGATTCTTTTTTTCTTTCTTTTTTTTTTTTTTTTTTCCAACATTTGCCCATACGTATGTGTATGTATGTGAGCGAGTGAAACCGTCCGTCTGAAAAGGACACACTGACCGATGCGAAAAACAACAAGGTGAGGACAACCACGGATTAGGTTCTTGCTTACCTTACTTTTGGTATGTGTAAGGCATCCGAAGAGAATTAAAACATAAAAAAACAAAAGAGGAATCTCCAAACTCCCTCGGTAAGGATCGAACTTACAGCCTCCAGATTAACAGTCTGACGCGCTTAGCCAATTGCGCCTTACGAGGGATTTGAAGCAGCTACTGACTGTACTGCTGTTTGGTGAAAGTAGATGTCGGATGAGGCATTTATCAAGGTACAGTTTGCGGCATGCAGGAAGCATCGAGATCGGCATCGTTTGGAAATCGCGATGGTGTGCATTGTGGTGGTGCCGTGGTGGAGACTGGAGCGGGAGTTGGTCTTGGCGCGGAAGGTGGGTCACCGATTCCTTTGAGTCAAACCCAGTCCCTGCAGAAACGGTGAAAGTGACGGATGGCAACAAACTAAACGATGCAATGCGAAGTGGAAGTCTTTGAAATTAACAATCGTTGTTGCGAGCAATTGGGTGGACTCCAGAGCGGTCGTGTTTTGAGTATAGGAAGAGCTGTAACGAGGGATTGATGGACGAAACGCAATGCACCGGCGCGCTCCACTGTCCGCATTTCTGCGGAGTGCGGACGTAAGAAGCCAAGACCCGTCCGTAGGTGGATTAAAAGGGCCCAAAGTGGCTTATTAGGTAGGTACATTATGGTACTGCTTTGACCTTACACGCAAGGGCAAGGCAGAAAGAAGTGGGTTAATTCCCAAAACGGAAGATACGGACATACTCTTCATTACGATGGGTAAGGCACGGGGGACACTCGTTAATATTTCACCCATAACTGCACTAGCTGGATCTGGATGAGGAGAAAAAGGGAATTACGCAGCCTGGGAGTATAGTAGGACTACCTCTATATATGAAGTAATTACACTAAAGATCACAAATGCGTGGGACAATAAAGCAGAACATAAAGTAAGGTATTCAAGTATCACAATCACAAGTTCATTAAGAACAGTTGACAATTTCGCAGATAATTAGGTATGCTACCACAATGAAAACCTAGCCCCCTGGCAACGCTTCCATCAGACTTTGAAAGACGCCCCTTTCACATGTCGTGATAAACTAGGTACTGTTGTTGTTGTTGTT